TCACTTGTAAAAAAACACGGGGGTGCTTAACTTTTTTCCAGGTGTATATATTGATTTGTTATACAAGATGATATGCTTTGGGAAAATAAAGTTTGAGTAACTAAACTTGTATGGTAATCAAAATATCAGTTGGTGTTCAGCAGCAGGTACAGAATTCCAAAGATTAAGTAATGATATATATTAGCATAAGAATATTATCAGAAGATGAAAAGAGCAATAAGCCTTAACGCATAGTCATTCTTCATATGATCAATCCATAATTATGCCCCAATACATAGTTAATGCTGAAAATTCAATATTCGATTATACATAGATAATATATTAATTTCCTATGGATTAATTCAAAATTTTAACACTGGTATTTTTTTTAAGTAACTCACATGCAATTTTTTAATGCGATCAGTTTGATAGTATTGAAGTCTTTTGGCTTTTTCTATTGCTTCTTTTCTTTTCTGAGCCTGATACTGAGCTTCTTCTAAGTCTAACTGAATTCTTTCTTCCTCTTCCTTCTGCTGTTTTTGCTTCCTTGCTTCCTGTTTCTTTAGTCTCTGTCCCTGCAAAATTAAAACAAAGAAAAAGTCTTGAAGAGAAAATCAGTAAATGGGTGTTACTGAGAAGTGGCTTCCACCTTTTCCCCTTTTAATATCTTCTGAGAACAAACTGTGTAGGTGACAACCTAATGTGACAACTAACAAAGACTGCCACACTTTACACCTTATACAAATTCGAAGATAAAACATTTGTACAACTCAGTAAAACTAGAATATTTATGACTAAAGGTTCTTCAATATATTAGACACTCAAAAATATTATCACACTGGAGAATCAAACTGACAACCTATGCCAAACTATTATATGTCTTACAGAAATTTTGTATTTTGTCCATCAATGTCCTGGATATTCAAGCTCATTACTATATAACAAACATTACATAAATAAACATTTTCATATATAAGCTAGTTCAATAGCCTTAAAACAACCCTAACCAGCACAAATCAGTTAAATATGTAAGCTACTTCATAAATTTAGTTATTTAAGAGAAAAGCAATTATTTCTCTAAACAAGTCTACATCAATGTTTCTAACCTTGAGACCCTTTTAATTTTAATATACAAGTGCATAACACCAAGTGTGAAGTTTAACACTCAAATATCCTGTCACAAGATAACATTTAAACTGTTTTCTAATCAATGAGATAATAAAATTCAGACTGCTGTGACTTGGAATCTAAATACATTGACATAGAAAAGTCTTAAAATGGCATTCCTTCACTCAGTTTTTGGAGAAAATATAACAAACATACAAAAATGATCAATACAGTGGATGCTATTAAAAGACACTCTGATGCAAAGAATTTGGAATAATTTTAATTGTTGTGTACTATAACTTATTTTCTTCTTCAAATGCCCATAAATTTAGAAGTGTCATTTAATTATTATTCTTTTAATTACTTATTTTGTTCACAACCAGATACCGAATATCTTGTTGATCTGTAAATCCTTATGTATATGTGGCAATTCGTGCATAGTACATGTATTAAAGAACAACAGACTGAATTGAATCTACCAATGAACAAAAACACATTTAATGGACAGGATATAAAAGTAAGTAGTACAACAATTAAAGGGGTAACGATGATATTCATAAAACTAGTGAGCATCCTTCCCATTTTAATATAAACAGTATGTAAAAAAAAGAAGTATTTACTGCCTATTGAACCTGCTTAGAATTAATACAGAAAACTAAGAAGTTCAAAGGAGGAAATATTGAGTTCACTAAAAATTTTTGGTCATTCAGGCATTTACATTTATTTTTTTCACTAGTCCAGAAATCTAAGACTGTTCAGTCAATTAATTGCATTTACAAGTTTTTAATTATTAGTCTTATATGCTATAAAAATTACAATCCCTCTATTTTATTCAGAAATTACAAATATTGTAAAAACACACTAAAATTAAGCCTGTATAAATTTCAAAATACATATTTGTAGAGATATTTCAATTTTTTTTAATATAGATTTTACATATTCCAGATATTTCAAATTTTTTTACCACTATTGTATTTGTCCAGTTTTTTGACATATTCCTGGAACATTCTCTCATCTGTTCTCGCTCAGCCTGCTGAGCCAGAAGTTCTGCACTCTTGTGTGTTGCTTGATACACATTTCCTTTGATTCTGTCTAATTCAGTTTTTGACAGAATTAAGACTTTACCTGAGGACATTTGGTTTGCATTCATATTCACCCCTAAAACAAATATAAAATTATTTGTATAAAAATATCAAGAGCAGGCTGTTCTAGTAAACATGTGTTTGAGAATGTATATATATGTTTATGTATATATATATATATAAATATATTTATGTCATTAGAACAAACAAAATGACAAAAATGCAGTCACTGATGTCACCTATTCACTTTCGAATAACAAATCAAAATCATCATCCCATACTGAATATCACATCTACATATCTGTCCATAAAAAGTATGCAGAAATTCAATCAAAGCAAAACAGATATTAAAAAAACCATTCCATAAGTTTATAGCTTTAATTAATCATAAATACATTACAAACTATACACAATCATATTATGCCTACAATGCATAATAACCTTTCACCTATCAAGATTCATTACATTAAATTTTTTAAAATTTTCCATTTGCATATTATGTTGAAAAAGAAATCATAAACTCAGAATATGTCAATTAATTATATATGTACATTTTTGAATACAAATTACATAATACTAAAAATTTTGTTGTAAATCTTAGTGTCAGATTCTGATATGTGTGACATACTAGATACTTCATTAAGACCTATGTTGTTTAACATAACGTAACATTTGAAGGGCAACAAGGAAACTCTTGGCCCATTGTGGTTGTCCCATTCATTTCATTATATACCTGCAAAATTGGTTCCTACACATCAGATGACTCAAGTTCACAGACAGCAACCTATACTTCTGACCATTAGAATCCACTACTGCTTACATCACCTTTCTAGATGTAAGTTCAGTAGCTAGGTGCTATTTTAAAAATTTCACCATATGGCTGTCACTTTCTGCTCCCTCTATTACAATTGCAGCCTGTATTTTCATGTGTCAATAACTGCAACTTGTACTGAAACAATGTTAAAAAGGTATTTAGAAAACTGTGTACTTATAAAATATTTCAAGCTGCATGATTAAAACCATTCCACCATAACCAAATGTTATTATTTTCCTACATTGAAAATATATTTTCGATGGGTAGTTACTTCTTCTCACATGATAGCTTTTCTTGTTCAGTGCTGCCCTCTATATGCAATTTTTTTTTAAACTCCCACTTACCCCATGATCAATGTCATTCAATGCATCTTCATATGAAAAATATCATGTAATAACCCTCTACCAACAGAAGTGCAAAACACCCTCCTTATGCACATTACTCCCTCTATTTGATTACACCTAACTATCACTTCAAGATCAGGTAGAAATTAAGCACCAGTAGTGGGAAGGATGGGTGGAAAGTGTGAGAGGATATAAGTACCTATCAGAAATATATTTTCAGTTTGAGAAAATAATAACTCCTGATATTGGTATCTTACCTTCTCTCCCATAATAGCTACAGTCCTGTATTGAAAAGGTGTGAGGGATGTAGATAAGTATCTTTTGAAAGCATCCAAACAACACCCATTGGGAGAGAAACATACATGGGAGACTGCACCACTTCTGTACCAGGTATACTCTTCACCCAGTGTGGTAGTAAGTGTCGCATAAATGGATGAAAATTGTGAGGAGTACATCCAATAAATGAGAGAAAAAGGGTTGTGCCCATTGATGTAGAATGGCTGGGCATGACAGACCTTACTTGGTAGGTCAACTCTGGTCCAAAACTTGGAGGGTTTGAGCATACAACATCCAACCCTTTGTAGGAAGAGGATCCACATTGTCTTCACCTCAAGTTGGGTAGAATAGGGGGAGAAAAGTCTATACCCTTCAACTAAACAGGGCACATGTGTGCAAATACACAACCATCACCAGTCATCCAGGAAACTAACATCCGAATGACAGTAGAAAGGAATGTGCCAGTGAGGCAGTTCGCTTCAAATCCTAAATCAATCAGATCAGATTCACTCTGCACATCATCTGCCTCTGGGTATTAACCTCATAAAGGTGGAATGCCAGGAGGGACTACATGTGCTCCACACAATATCATCCTCAGAATGGGACCACAAAGAAGCTGGAACACTTGGATGACTGGCCAACTGACAGATCAACCACAGTCCAGGGACAAATCAAGCCAGATCCACACAACATCAACCTTCAGGACTCACCACATAGAGGAGGAGGAGTGCATGAAGTAAAACCTCATAACTGTGGTAGGATGAAGAATCACGACTTAACACAGGTGTGAGAACTTATATTTGTTGATCCTGCTCTAATCCAAAACCACTCCCTGGGAACCGACATCCAGTCAATGGTAGGACAATGGATCCTAACAAGAGGGGTGAACTGCAAAGTAGCAGAACTACTTAACACCTGTATTATATGACTGTGAAACATGTGCAGGACCTGCATCATCTACACTGGCAGAACACACTGCCCTACTCTCTACTGAATGGAATTGAGCACATTCAGGAAGTTATCTCCATGGTCCACCACCCCAGCAGCTAAGAATTTGTAAGTGGCAAGGATTCCCATACTCTGCTAGAAGAAAGGGTAGAAATGCAGTGGGGTATCTGGAAGAATGACAACATTGAAGACAGTGCAATGTGTGACCATGAAATCCCTGTTTATTCAATCAAATGGATGGTGGGATGGGCAGCATCCCTTTCCGTTTCACCCATCAAAGCCCATGGGTTAGCATGGTCTAGAATGGACATTTTTTTAAAACAAAATACCATGAGGAAAACCTACTAGCAGTCTTGTGGAATACCCCATCTCAACAGTATGCATTACTGGCCATGGGCATACATTGAGATTGGGATGATAAGCCTCTACTCGAAGTCAAGTTTGATGTGATGTCCCATACAACCTTCACTATGCCACCCTGTGCAATATCATCCTCACAGATCCAACCTCAACAAAGTGGAGTGCCTGGAGTAGCAGGTTATGATGCATGCAACATCATCCTCTGGATAGGACCACACAGAAGCTGGAGCACATGGATCACCAGCTGACATCCCAAGCAACCATGGTCAGCAGGACAAGCAGAGCCAGGACCATGCAACATCAACCTCTGGTACCCACTCTATGGAATTAGAGCAACTGAGTCACTAGGCAGCTGATAATATACCCCTGAATGATGTATGGTAGGCTGAACAGTGCAGAATTGTATTATGCATAGATATGCATACCTTGATGGCCAGCACTCACCACTGAGTGGGATCCATGATCTAATAAGGACATACCTCTATAAGAAAAAGTAAAAAGCAAATGTACTAAGTCATAGTCAAACCGATGTGTTACGTATGTCAACAGGCAAAATACAGTACCCAAACGAGAAAGAAATGGTCACCTGATGAAGGAAGTGGAAGTAGTCCACCTACGAAACTGTAGAATCTCTTCCAAAGAATGACTTGGAAAAGACTTCAGGAAGAAAGAGACAGGGAGGAATACACTAGACTGATAAGCTGATGAAACCTAATGAGAAGTGATAGTTAGGTGGAATTGAATAGATGGAGTAACATACATCAGGAGAATGTGTTGCACTCCTATTGTGAAGGGTTGTTGCACGATAATTTACAAGTGATGATGCAGTGAACCACCTTGATTATCAGGTAGGTGGGAGTTTCAAGGTTAGTGGCATGCAAAAAAAATTACATATAAAGTCAATGACACTTCAACTACATGAACATCCAAGCTGCAGGTAATTAAGATTAATTCCATTCATAATGATTAAGAGGCCACTATCTGTGGATTTACCAACTGTCAGAGATGTCTCTCACCTCTGGATCTGTTACTTCCTGATCTGGTTAATTATGGATGACTAGATAAGTACTCTCAGCTCTTTCCTTCTTATCTTTTAGGTTGGTGTGAGATAAAACTGTACTTTTGTCTTCCTATGATTCGTGGTCTGGCTAGTTCACAATATATATCTATACTTCACCATTATAAAAGGCCTAATGGTATTTCTTTGGTCTGCTGACCCAGGCTGTGCTGATGAGCCTTGAATAGGCAAAACTGCAGTCCACAGCAGAGAGTATAGCCAGCCAAAGAATGCATTAGGCCTCTATGTCATAGATTCTTTTTTTCAATTTCACCTTAGGTGAAAATGAAAAATCTTTAATATTAATATGTTTTCTGATAAGCATGGATGTAGCTGATCAAGTACTATGTACTTTCACATTCCTCTCAATTGCTGTAACTTGTACATCAATAGACAAACTCATCAGAGCAAAAGATATGGTTCCATCCAGCTGCAGCCTAGTAGCTTCTGTGCTACTGGCATGTACCAAAGCTACAATAAGTTTCTACACTGGTACATTCATTCCTTCTCTGTGTTATCATAGTACCTCTTCTATTGTATGGTAGCTTTTCTTACCACTGATCTACAAGTTCACGTATATCAATTACTGCAGACCAGAACAATGTCACATACTGTTATAGACATTGTGACCCACATACACTAAGTGGAGGACCATACGTCACATCTACATGAGCAAGACTGCACACCTGAACCTGAACATATTCAGTAAACAACCTTTGTCATTTGCTCAGTTGCATGATATGCCATCATAATATATGATATAATGAAACTGATTCAGTTAGGATTAACAAACTTAGTAAGCACTAGCTTGAGAGCTTGTATTACCCTTTCTACTAAACCATAGGACCAGGGTGATAAGGCAAAGTGCACATCTTCACCACAGCTAACACTTTACACAACTCAGAGAACAGATGGAAGTTGAAGTTAATTCCCTGATTCATATGGATTTCTTCAGATGCCCCAGATTTGGCTATCCAGTTCCCTATAAAACATCAACTACAGATTGTACCAACATATTGACCATTGGATAAGTCTCGGCCTACTTTGTTAAGTAGTCAATGGCCACAAGTATATACAAGTAACTGTGTTTTATTTTCTCTATGAATGGATCAGCAATATTCAGGGCTATTCCTTGTAGGAAAAAATAACACCACCATGATGGAGTTTACCCTGTTTAGGCCAACTCTTTTTCTGGGTAACAAACACACATACATACAGTGTTGACATCAGTCCTGACTTGATTGCAGCGAATAGAACCACCACTGAATGTTATGACAAGTGCAGGTAAAAACATTGGTGCTCTCCCATTTTTTATTATGCAAAATCATGGCCCAAAGTAATGGGGATATCTAGCTGTAACACAGACTGAGAACCATGGCTTGGTGGTTGAAAACCTTGGTACAGTATACCTTTGTTCATTTGTAGCTGTTCATACAAGCACCATAGGTTATGTGTATCCATAGTATCTCCCTTAATCTGAGCATGTTATGATTTGCCTTACTGCACGACATCAACCATCCCTGCTTGATCAGAATCCTTCAGTTGCTCTTCCCAGGCTATAATTGTGGCATCCATCCATTAAGGAATCTCCTACTATATAGCTTGTTACCACCATGGCAGCAGCGGTTTCAATTCTCACATGGTATCCAGGTGCTGGAAATTCAACGGACAGGTTCTCACTCACTGTACAGCTGCATTTCCATTTTGCAGGCCTGGGACAATACTGTATGACTAAATGCTATTCTGTGATGCTATTATACAGCATGCTATCATTCCTTCTGAATTTTTAAAAGTTCATTAGCCGTTTCACCAATGCAAGTAGTGTCAATAGTGTTTTATATAGACTACAACTTTAAGTACTTCTTTCTTTGTGGTACAATATTTGCATTCAGGATCCTTAAGCATATGACTAACACACATGATTACATGTTATAATCACTCCTGCAAATACAATAACATTGCTTTAATTCTGCTATCCCTAGCATCTTTAATAAGACCTGATATTAGTGTGGCAACCTTAGAAGAGTTAGCTTCAAACCGTCAATATGATGCAAAACCTAGGAAACTGTAGACTTATCATTTGGTTACACGTTAAAGCCAATCTTTAAATGCTGCTATTTTAGCAGGATACAAGGAGGTTAAATCTGCACACACAGTGTGATTGAGAAATTCTACTTTCATGCATGTCAATGCACATTTTCCTGATATTACTTTCAAGCCTGCCTTTTTATCCACTGTAATACCATTTTCAGGCTCTTAGCAACTGACTCATATGTGCAACAAAATGCCAAGACATTATCAACACAGATCAGGAAATTCTTCCATTGCAGTCCTTTGGGTATGTTTCATTAGTCTCTCGAAAGTGATAGCCATGTTATACAGGCTGAATGGTATGATGTGAAACTCATACAAGGCATCTATCATGCTTAAAGCTGTCTTAAGTCTACTCTTGTTTTCCAATTTGACTTGCCAGTATCTGGATATCAGGTCCAGCATACTGAATCATTGAGTCCTTTTTAAATATATCATTATGAGTTACTGAATTTACCCATCTAAAATAAATGAAGAACCTTGGTTGTACATTCCTTCTTCCTGACAATCACTACTGGAGACTATCAAGCATTATCTTATTTTAAAATTGACTGTACCTCAGTGGTGACTATATTCCTAGTGCTCCAGGAAAGCTTGGATGGTGGTGGTTTAATTAATTAGATGTGCATCACATGTATTTATGTATGCTGTGTTACTGTTATTCAATCTAATCAGCCATCTGGTCACATAACTACATCAGCTTATTTATCCACCAAGTCACTGAGTTTCTACCACTGTATTGAGTCTAGATTGTCTGTAGGATTCTCAATTAGTTATCTCAGATGTTTTGATAACCATGTTCTTGCTTTTAACTATGGCACATGGATGCAATCTTAGCATTACCAGAAGCCTTGGTTATCTCCTATTTGTTCACCTTGCTAATGACAATTCCAGTGTGAAGCTGGATAACTGATCATTCATGATACCAGAACTTCATCCCTCATTAGAAAGATAACTGCTGAAGTTAATGCTGCTTGCTTTCTGGACAGGAAAAAGCTTATTTCATGCATTAGTTATATAACTGCATTACATGTCACCAGTGCACTACTTCATCCTTAGTAAAGTGGAACACTACATGTGTACACAAGGGTACTATGAATTCCTCTCTCACATACACTCATATAGTCCGCTATTTATGGGTCTGATCCAACCAGAATTAAATAATTTTCCCAAAGAACATCAGTTCACTAGTTGCACAGGTTAAACTGACTAAAAGAACTCTGCAATATGCCCATTCCAAGGGTGTTGATGCCAAAATAAAGGTTGGCAATGACTACCTTTATCACTTAGAGTAACACCTATATAATATCCATTCACCAGAATTAAGTTTGTACTGACAGGCTCAATTGGTGGTTTTGCTTGAAGTGCCTGAATTGCCACAAGATCTACTAGTGTTCTGGTCGCTTCCTTATCAAGGACCTCTCTCCCTTTTACTTTGACAAGCAAATATCAAGACTCACCCAGCCCTGAGAGAGGTAGGCTGACTCCATAAAATGTTTTGGAGCAAAACGTTTTGTTGTGCTCTCCCAAGTCAGTGGTCAGGCCTAACTTGGGCTCTGTTGGTTTCCCAGAGTTATGATAGAATTGTTCACTGTCAGGTTTTGGCTCTCTTGCACTTGCTGGGTCACTGGTTGAAACTGATAGCCTTGTCTACCTTGCTGCTCAGCAAGGAACAGGAAGTTCCTTCAACAAAGTTAGTCATTGATAAAAACATTACAATATTATTTTTACTTATCTTTATGAGAGCCTTATTTTTAGCCTATTTTCAATTAGTTTTATACTTAAGGTTAATTTATAAAACTAAAATAAAAACATAGAAACATAAATCCACAAGTAGTTAGGCATATTGACAAAATCCTATGTTAGTCTTTGAGAAAATGTGAGTTAAATTTTTTGGTGATTTCATAATTTAAACATAAATTTTAATTTTTAGTTGCAAATTAATGTGTATCATATCAAAACTGATTTTATTTATTGTAATGAGTATTAATTCTGGTATCTGCAGTTTTAGAAATTCTACCTAGCACACATTAAACTGCAAGAACTTGGAATTACAGCAATTTAATTATACTATCACATATTAAGCTACAAGCAAAACCTAAACAAAGCTTTATGTTTTAATATAAATTTTGTTGTCTTAAACTACATAAGTATGAACTATGCATGACACAGAAACATTACTGGTAGTTATACTATGGTAGCTATGCTGTACTATTAAGACTTTTAAGTTTTAAAATTTTACTTTAGGAGTTTAGCATAGTAACAGTTAAGTTAAAAGCTTGAAACAATTAATACTTTTATCATTGTAATTTTGATAAGTTTTATTATAATATTAGTTTTTAGGCCTGGCAACCATATATCAAATGAGAGTTTAGTTATTTGCCCAGTGGCTGCGTATCAATTAAGAGGTTGCCTATTCATAGGACAAATTCAAGAATTTTGATGAGTAGTGGTGTTACCTTACTAAATAATAATTATATATTTAAATTGGCTTGACTCAGCCATTGATAAACATTAGTACACAATTTGAGCCTTGCAGAAAACAAAGTTTACAGGCTGTGGTAATTGTCAAGCAAAGAGTAAAACTCATTGCTAGAAAGAGTAAAATTTGTCCATATTTTTACAAACAAGAAAATATGATTAAACTGATCAAAGGAATTATTTATTTCAGCCAGACTTCATTTCAAAATTTAAATTACTTAACAGATTAAGAGTCTTATGGTCTACCAAAAGAGCTAGCTGAGCCAGTGTTCAGATCACTTGGGTGTATAAAAAAAAAACACATTTGTTAAAACGACACCAAAAAATTGTTAAATTTTTATTAACTGATTTAATACCCTACCACCTGACATAAAGTCTCTAGCTTTATGATTTTCATTATAAAATAGGGCAACTGACCTATAACTTGCAAGAATTTGGTTCATGGCTTCAATGTTAAGACCAACAATAATATTATGCAGTACCATTGAGCTAATCAAGGCTCTCTAATAACTCTATTTACTACTGTATTAAGGCCTAATGTTAGTTAATTCTAACTCGTACTTAGTAATAATGCTAATATTAATACTAATAATCATAGTGTTAGCTCTTCAATTACCTGGTTAGTTCAACTTCAAGGAATATGAATACGCATACCTAAACTCTTTGTTAAGGTTAACATGTAAAATATAAAACAACAATAGCTAACTCTGCTGCAGAAGAGTATATTCTAAAAATCAACATTATAAACGTTCTAATATTTGGTACGTTACATAAAGACTACCATGGTGAAGATAAATATATTCGTTACTATAACAACATCGTTGCTGAAGCGCGCTCTGTAATATTTATGTGGTTTGAGAGTAATTTTTAATTCACCATATAGTAACCTAAATTAATTTAAGTGTATGAATACTATTATGGCATTGCGCCTAATTTATTATTATTTGGTATTATATAGTGGACCAACTGTTTAATGATTATATTATAGACTTTATTTTTTTTTCGCCAGAGGTAAAACTGAAAATATAATCAGCGACGTAGAGATCTAATGCATTTTTGATTGACCTTTTTAAGGTTTATTAGCACAGCTTGTGTGAGCGAACCAAAGAAATACGGTAAGACCTCTAGTGTCAAACTGCAAATAATAAATCCCTTGCGATAGAACTGAGGTTATTGAAAATAAACCAAACACCACAAGAATGAG